GACGTCACCTAACACTCTAGAGCTCTCTTGGATATTCTAGAACTTTTTTGGATTCTCTACACTCTATAATAATATGACAATTAATAAATAATAGTTGATAGATAGTAGTTTGAAGTGAGCTAATGTTTTGCCCATCACATATTTGGGACTACTCTTTTGCCGAGTTTTATATCAAGAGCAAATTAGTTGCATGCATTTTCACTTGAGAGTGAGAAGTGACTTTTCTCCCTCAAAATCTGACTTAATTATTCTAAAATAAGTATTAATTAGAAGCTAATTAGATTAGATGCTCCATAATTCGCAAATAATCTATGTACGTAAAAATAAGTAAATACATAAGAGAATGACATGATGGATGCATGAAATTGAAAGTCTATGATGATCCAAACTCGGGGCGCATGAGTGTAAGTAGCTCTATCATGTCGGATAGTGGAGACGGAGTAGTTCTTGCCATGTCTTGAAGTCTTGTCATGTTCATTCATCATCGTCCTCTACGAAGCATTAGAAGAACTCGCACCAAGACGCACCTATGGATGTTATCCATCACGCTCTGATACCCACCTGTGAATGCTATCCGTAACATTATGCACTGTTGAGTGCTCCTATTGTATTATTCTTCTTTATAAGCTTTGTCAATAGCCTTCTAGGTGTCGTTTATCCATTCCATGGAAGCTTCATTTAGTAACTTGCTCTATTTCAAAACGCAATTCTTTCTCTGTATCAAGCTCCGTTCAAGGGACAGTACACAAATATAACAATGGCTCTTCATATTATCAATCCCCAAATCAATTGAAAAATGCTTTAAGATCTAACCCTTCGAGCTACACTTAAAAAGCAAAATAAAAACATTCTGATCTATCCTATTCGAACTTTGGATAAGAGATTCATGATTTTATGTTTTTGCTAAATCAACACATTGTTTTACTCATTTAAAGGATTATCTTTATACATATAATGATGCTACAAATCTGTAATTTTATCTAGGAAAAAATCAATAACCACAATGAATATCCCAACTTGCATCTTCAGTAGACAGTGTCTTTATCACAGCATCATAATCCGCATTCTGTAAGTACGCCTTCTATCATTTCTCTACATTTTGCAACCGGTAGACTGCATCGATAGTGGCTAAATCAACATGCAACTCATACCTCTAATCCTTGTTTTTTCTATCTTTCTTTCCTGGACATTAGCATAGAATTCCATTACTAGTGTACTACCATTTTTAACCCCAACACCTTATACAAATTTCATGTGAGATGCGGAAAAACATAACTCACCTCACTAGTTTACTACATGCCTTATATTTTCCATTACAATCCCGCCTACATCCATTTTCATTCATGTTGCAATGACATAAACAAAATAGTTCGATCTACATCCACTGAACCGTAATAACTCCTGGACTCATCCTAGAACAAACGAAGCACTGCCAATCCTAGCCACAATTGTCAATCAGTACCCCTCAATTTCTCCTTCCCTTCCTAGACTCCCGGGACATTCCTGGCTTTGCTATGACCGATATCTTTCAAATTTTGGATTTTTCTTGTACCCCTCTATCATCACGGTCCACTGGCTATTCCACAAAATTCATTGATTAATCGTGCATAAATGTAACAAACTTTCATCAAGATTATAACTTATTACACTTATTTATATATCCCAAATTGGGAACATAATTTTTTATTACTATATAAGTTATTCTACACGATAAAGAGATTTTACTGCATATGTCCATATTTTTTGTTTTACCGGACATTGGCATAGAACTCTCTTACTACCAAAAGTAGTATTTCTCCCCGATCAAAGCGGCGAGAGCTGCAAAAATAAACAAAAGCGCTTCAACATCTAACCCATCGAGCTACAGTTGAAAAGCAAAATAAAAATCCAACTCAACACAATCATTAATAATATTAGAAATTAAGCTAAAAATAAACCAAAGGAAACAAGTTGCTGATGTAAAATGCACAAAATGCAAAATGAATCCCAACTCAGAACATCATCAGAATTTTGGAAACACAAATCTTAAAGATCAAGCTACTGCGCCTTATAACAACATTTCTTTGCAACCGAAAACTTAATCTAATAACAAAGAAAAAACTGAAATTATAACTTACGGAGAATAATTTCTTGCCAACTCCTCCCATACCAATAAAGGAAGGGAGCATATGATTATATGCATATACCCCTTGGCGTCCAGCTTTTTGTTCTTCTTCTTCTTCATTCCCACCTGCAAAGGAAGAGACAGGCGGCTGTCTGAGTAAAAGCAGTGTGATGAGATATTCAGCTGAAATGACCTAGGCTTCAAACATTTATGTTTACAGTTTATAATAAATTTTCTGTTTTGAGTTTAAATTATTTAAGAGTATGTTTGGGCTTTGGGCTGGCCCAAATTTAGCTGGTCCCTTGTTATGAAAGATTGAGTCAAGTCTTTTGTTGTGAATCCCTATAGGTGCGTTTGATTTATTATTTTAGATAGGATTTTGGAAATAATATTGGGTAGTTGAATAGGAGAGTATTACGAGGTAAAATTTAAAAATTTATAAAAAAGTCCTTAGGTCTACTAATTTAATTAAACACCCCAATATATAAAATGACAAAAATACTTTCACCACCTGTAATGCCAGATTCCGGCCACCACCGCCGGAATCTGGCCGAAAAATCGTGTTACGACACAAACCAATCGGATCTGTGTCGTAACACGTTGTTATGGCCTTGTCGGACCAGATCTACCACGAATCTGGTCAAAAAAGGCCAGATCTACGGCTTGTTGTGGTCGCGACTGCCGGAAAAGGCTAAAATGATGGCCATTTTTTACCGTTATTTTCGATCAATGATGGCCAAGATTTGGCTGTCGTTGACCGTCAACGACAACCGACGGCCAGATCGGTGAATTATCGGCCAATTCCAGTTGGTAATTCATAGTTGTGGTAGATTCCGGCTACCACCAACGGTAGTTGCCGGAATCTGGCAAGTATGGGTCATGGGGGTATTTTTGTTAATTTTTAAACTTTTTTCAGGGGGTATTTAATAAAATTAATAACCTTATGGGGTCTAAAAGTAATTAAAAAATAGGGTAATATTTCTGGAATAATGTACAAAACATTATTTGGAGAATAGGATTAGGAATATGAGCAGAAATAATAAGCCAAACATGCCCCATAATTTTGTATTGGATTTTCATTACGAGATTATGGAAAGCGAAAGCATGGGAAATACTTCAATTTAACTATCTTTGGGTGGTTGAATAGTTTGATAGATACTCTTAGATGTATTAATCAAAAGATTATGAATTTGAGTCTTTCATCGGTTGCCAATAGGGATAGCCACTGGAACTCTCACTTGACTGATAATTCTAAGGCCCTTAAAGATTAGTTGAGATGTACATAAACGGGTCCAAACACTCTTTGTCATAATATATATATTCAATTTACCAACAACATACCATCAATAACCCATCATTTATAATCATATTTCCTATATAACACAAACGGCATCTTTACTCGTTATTTTCTCATTTGATGCACAATTTCGCGCTTTAACTTCTATTATTAGGTATGGAGGTTGGAGACAAGTCATGCTTTCTAAGCAGCATTTGCAACGATGTTGTCTTGTAACTTCAAACGTATCCCAAGGTCTACAATGTATCCACTCTTCTTGTCGAAGACTCATTTGGACAACACAATGGTTGTCCATGCTAGATATTTGCTCCCTAGGATTAGGCTCTTACACCAAATATTTGGGACTCCTCTTTTGCCCAAGTTTGTAGATCAAGATCAAATTAGTTGCATGGATTTTCAATTTGAGAGGTGACTTAATTATCCCAAAATAGGATTAAATTAAAAGCTAATTAAGATTAGATGCTCCATAATTGTGTAAATAATTTATGTTCATTAAGAGAGTGACATGATGGATGCATGGAAGCTTTATGATGATCCAAAGCCTCGGGGCACATGAGATAAGGCCATCTATCATGTTGGATAGCTTGAGACGGAGTGGTTCTGCCATGTCTGAGCCGAAAGAAATAGAAAGTAATAAGAGAACAAAATAAACAGTAAGTAAACAGTAAAGAAAAAAAGTAATACAAAAAATTTACTCTTGTTCATCTAAAATAGGCAACGTCCAGTAGAGAAAATGTTATTTCAATATTGCCTCACCTCTCTTGTTTACAATGAATAAAATTTCCCTATTGTTTGCTATCAAGAGAAAAATATGTTTAAATATTAGATTTAAGAGACTAAACCTAGTTTTATAATAATTCTTATTCTTAAGTCTAACCCTAAACTAAACAAAAAAATTAATGACTGAATGAAATTTTTCGTTATACATGAAAAAAAAAAAAAAAAAAAAAAAACCTAAAACAGTTAATGGGCCCGAATACATTCGTGTGACCCATTAATGGCAAAGTGGTTGACAACTCTAACGGGAGCGAAGTAGCTCTGAAGACTTGTCATGTCTGGGCGTAAAACCATCATCATCCTCTACTGGAGCGTTAGAAGAACTCGCACCAAGAACCCACCTATGGAGACCCACAGCGGATGCTGTCCATATAGCAACATCACTAACTATATTGTGCATTGTTACGTCCACCCATCATTATTCTTCTCTATAAGCTCTGTTAATAGCCTTCTAGAGGTCGTTTACCCATGGAAGCTTGCTCTATTTCAAAACGCAATTCTCAGTATCAAGCTCCCTTAAAGGGAAACAGTACACAAAGATAAAAATGGCTCTTTAGACAAATCAAGAGCAACAAATTGTTGTTCAAAAATGCTTTATTTCTTGCCAACTCCTCCCATCCCAATAAAAGGATTATACGCTTTCGCCCAGTGCTTTTTCTTCTTCTTCTTCATCCCACCATTCGAGTGAAGCTGTGTGATGAGAGAGCAAGCTAATGGAAAGAGTATATAATTAATTTTCTTAAAATTTAGATTATCATAGTTAATAAACTCTTGATTTTCTTAAAATTTAGATCATCATAATTAATTTTAACTTCTCAGGGATAAACATACTACATCATATTAATTCAACAAAACTATATCAAATGTGCGTTTTATTTAAGAAACAATTAATCCGTTTCCAAAACCCTCTCTGAGCCTCGATCGCCTTCATTCCATTCATACCATTCGTCATACCCAATGGTTTTCAAAAATTATTATAAACACGAAAATACTCTATTGAACAGATGCCCCGTCTAAACTTGATGACATGGTATACTCATCCAACACCTGTTCTTGTCCCCGTCCCGCTACCGGGTCCTCAGATTTTTTGGGATGCTTGCTTGCTCCCAAAACTATAGAAATTTTTAAAGCCACCATGATGATGATTTCTGTTAGTGAAACTTCAAGCCAGTTCTTCAGCCAAGAAGCTTCACATTTAGTTAACATAATGATGAAGGAAGAATAGACCTTTGCAGCAGCTCTCAAAACCTGCTCTCTGCATTAGAATGCAAAGGGAAAATCGCTCTGCTATTCTGCCTTGTCAACAGTGACTGATTACCGATATCTTGCAAGGGCGATCGCTTTGGAGAAACAAGTGCATTGCTCGATGACCTTGCTTTTCTTCTTCCATCATTCAAGGCCTCCCTCTGCTTGTTGACGTTGTCAATGCCGCGATGATTTTCCTTCAAGCGACAGATTAGTACTCGTTTCTCGGTTTCGTTCTGGGACTCCCGGGCAAGTGGTGACGAGGTTTCAGCCCTTAATGCTCCACTATCTTGCTCCTTCCTCAACCTCTCAATCTTCTTCTGAAGCATTGCCACTTGTGCTTGTAGCTCATCTGCTTTTGCTTCTGAAGAAAGTGCTTTTTGTTTCCATTCTTGCACCTAATTTAAAAGCAACATAAGAAACTCAGCTGACACTGAAACTTCCTATCAAAGAAATGTGATTAAATGTTTACAAAAATCTTACCGCGGAGACTAAGGATTGAATCTGATAATCTGAATTAATTGCACGATCTTCCCAAAAATCTCGAGATGCCTGCAATTCTTCGATCTCATCCCGTACCTGCCCCAGCATCTCTTGCATCTGAGACCATTGCTCAGTCTCGGCCCGAACTTGCTCAACAATCCTTCGCACTATTGCCTTGCAATGTCCTGAACACTTCTTCTCCTCTTGAGACTTCACCTGCTCCCAAAGAAATTCCTGTTAGATTCTAAATAAGAGAAGATCTACAATAAACAAGTGTTACCGAAATATATTCTTCCTCAGCAGGGTTATATACCTTATATGGCTGCCAGACTAATACCGAAGACATTTCAGGAAACTCAATTCGCTTTGAAGTAGAAGCAGAACTGGTGGCTGTGGAGGGCATTGAACCATATTCTTCCTCCATTCTCTCCAACAAAATCCCTTTCGACAAGCCCTCCATTTTCCTCCTCAGAATCTCCACCTGCACACACATAATTCTCGAATCAATAAGCAATCAAATCATGCATCATAATCTGAACTGTAAAAAAGATCGATCTATTCTTACATGGCAGTTCTCATTTGAAATGGAGCTCTCATCCACTCTGCAACTTGTTTGGATTGACAAGCTTGCTACTGCCATTTCGCTAATTTCCTTGACACACATCTCGTCGGATTTTCCTTCAACTTTCACCAGTCGTCGTTGAAGCAGAGACGCTTGTTCATCGAAATTACTGCATTTCTTACCCTCCAAATACTTAACTCCCGATCTTCTTTGCAGCTTCTCTAGCTTCTGTGTCAAATGCATTATCTCATTTTCCAGTACTATGCTCACATCCTCTCCTGAACAAATCTTGCTCCTCCCCTACACGCAAATCTGAAATAAATTAGTACCATTCAAACCAGACAATGAAACCCCTTATCAGTTCGAATATTCATTTTCTTTTCCCTACCTACATTTTCTCAGCAACCAAACAAACCCTTAAACCCATTTACAGTTTAATTGTTAAGCAAATGGAGATAAATGCAGTGATCTAACCAAATGAATTCATCCTAAAACAAAGAGTGATATCCACTTATACAGACATGATCACCAAAACAAGTTATTCTTTTAACTATTTACCAAAATTTCTCAGCAACCATACAAACCCTTGAAATATAATGACTAATAATGAACCCCATATCAGTTCAAATCTTCAATTTCTTTTCCCTCCTCACATTTTCTCAGCAACCAAACAGACCTTAGAATTAACCCACTAACAGTTTGATTACTAAGCAAATGGAGAAAGATTAAGTGATCTAACCAAATGAACTAATTGACACCAATAAAAATGACATGATCACAAAATCAAGTTAATTTTTTAACTATTTACCAAATTTTCTCAGCAACAGAAAAAACCCTTGAATTAAAAAGAATAATAATAATGTGAAAGAAAGTGAGACTAACAGAAACAAGAGTTTGAATGGCAGATCTCAGGATCCTCTCCACTTGAACTCTCCTCCTCTCCATTTTCTTAACCGCAACTTCTCTCTCAATCCTCAAAAGATTACACTCAGCTCTCAACATCTCAGCCTGAAACCTCCACTTCTCTTCCTCCACCTCCGTTATTCCCCCTCTTCCTCCTCCACCACCACCACTCTCCTCTACTCTCCCTCTCCTTTCTTCCTCACTCACCACCACAACTTCCCTCACAACCCCTCTCGAAAACTCCCTCTCCTGATCAAACAACACCTCAAGTCTGCCCCTTTTCTCCCTTCCACCCGCTTTCCCACCACTCTTCACCACCTTCTTCCTCGGCCGCCGCGGCAGCTGAAGAATCCTCGGCGTCTGTTGCGCTTGCGGGTACTGCCATTTCGCCCTCCTAGGCCCGCCTGCCACCGCCACTCTCTCCATAAAACAAAAACGTTTCAGCACTTTCAGTTACACTTCAGCTTCACCAAGCCCTATTTATGAAGAAAGTAACGGCTTCAACAGAGTTTTTTCAAAACTCAAATTCCACTTTTAAGTAAGACCAACAACAAAACTACAACTGCATGAGAGTTGTTGTATCAAACTACAAAGAAGAAGTTATATAGTAAAAAAATGAGGAACTTGTTAATATTTTAATAGGGGAATGAGAGCCTTTCATTGGTTAAAGAACAAGAGACAGAGAGAGAGAAAGAGCTGGAGAAATAGTACTAGTTAAGAGTAAAGAGAAATAGGCGTGCAACCTCGTGAAGAGGAAGGAACAGAGATTTTCAAATGAAAGGTGAAGTAAAGGGGAGTTGAGTTAATTAAGTGTGCTGTTTTATGGTGTTTCTCTGAAGGGTAATTTATTTGTTGTTCTTGGGCAATGTTTTTCATGGAGAAGTGAGAAGAATATCTTCATAATTTAATGGTGAGTTTGAGAATGGCATTGTTATTTATTAACGGAGGTTTTGGGAAGGAGCCAAAAGAGGTAAAAACAACTCACCACCACTTCTTCATTCATTATTGTTATTAATTAGCATCACACAGAATTCGCAAGACTGAATTTTTTCAACTTGCTCCATTAAATTTTTTGAATGGCTTCTCACCTTGTCCACATCTAGATAATTTTTCCTTCTTTTTCTTCAGCTCTAGTGGTAATATTACCGAAATTTAACCGCCCCTTAGTGGTTAGATGGGACAATAGTACTTCTTGAGTGTATTATTCAAGAGATTTTGATTTTGATTCTCCTTAATTATTCATAGAAGTGACCATATACTAGAGGGTTTATTCACCCGTTAATTTCATCACCCTGAAAATTATTTAAAATATGCATAAATTAATTCAAACATTCTTAGTCAAAAAAAAAAAAAAAANCTCTCAAGAAAAAACATAAAAGAAAGTGAGAAATCAACCCAAATTCAAGGCAAGTATGCCATAGTTTGTGCTACATAATTACACTAAAGAAGGTACGGACATTAACATTATAATCTTGGGAAAGCCTATGGTATTATGGTTATATATTTATATGATACCAATTGTTTTGCTTTAACAATTCTAATAATTAAATATTGGTTAGAGTGATGATAACGTTCTATTTTGATGAGTTCACTCTACTTGATGTAGGAGGAAACATATATATATATATATATATATATATATCTTTTACCAAACCAATAATATAAGATACACATTCAATCGATTTTAATCATAGTGTATGTCATGAAAGTGATGATGTGTCAATCATTAATTGGTCAAAAAGTTTCTAAGCTATTAATAATTAATTAAAGTACATCATCACAAAATTAAATGAAGTTTAAAGAAAAGTCAATTTCATATTCAAATAATTGATAATTTAATTGAGCGAAAATTTTGAATCATAGTAACGGTAAAGACTAAAGAGAGACTGAGTGTGACTGTCAAAATTCACAAACAACAAGGCAAAAAAGGTCTCACCCACTGACTCTCACTCTCTACTCACAAACTGTCAATTTTAACGTCATATTAATTAAGTGGAAATTAACAAAATAATTCAAAAATTAACTACTCCGTGCCGTTAAAGTTACTGCATGATGATTATTTTTAAGTTAAATTAATTATCTTTAATAATTAATTAATCAACAGTTTTTTTGATTAAAATTATTATCGTGCATGCATATATAGATAGATAGAAGAGGGAATTACATTTTTCACCCCTTAGTTTCAAAAACTAACGACGCGATCCTCTCTCTTTGTTTTAACTTTTAAGTTTCTGAATTGAAAATTAAGGAGGATATTGTTAGATTTTAAAATCAAGAGAGTGAGAATTTCTTTATACCTAAATTGGCAACCTAAATAAAGGACAATCTCGCTCCTTCCGTGATGTGGTGTTAAGACTTAAAAATAGTAAGTGAATCATCAAAATTTCTTATTTTTAGCCTTAATTGACAGTTAAAGCAAGTAAAATAACTTTTGAAGACTAAATCAAAATGGTTAACATATGAACCAGTAACGACTACACCCAGTAAGAACTAGACCTGAAAACCAATCTTGTTAAATGGGTTAATGTCATGGTCGTGCTCGATTTTTCCAATAGTTAAAATTACCATAGCCAAAGGGTAAAAGTTGTTAGTTTCAAAGAGATAAGGGGTTTGACATAATTACCAATAAAATTATCAATATTTTCTTATTATTAGTCTTTATTCACACTACAGTCGATTTGATTACTGAAGAGATTTAAATTAAATAAAATAAAATAAAAAGAAATGATTGAAATATCAAGAGAACAGAAGAGAACAGCGACTGACAGGCTCATTCTTCTTGAGGTTTCTTTCTGCAGTTGTCTGATTTATTTGATTCTTTCTCTCTCGATTTACACGTTTTGTTTTTTCAAATTTAATTAATTTTTAAATACAATTTTTACGCTTTCTTGCTTAAATCTATGGCTTTGTCATTCCTCAAACGTCTCCCCTTTTTTTATCTTATATTTCTCAAATCTTAAAATCTCCATTTTAATTCGATAATTTAGTTATATTCATACTAGTATTAATGTAAGACCCTTTAATCAATAACAAAAAAAAAAAAAAAAAAATGATTTAATTTAACAAAAATATTACGTTTACAATATTTTCTCACAAACTTTTTCGCACAATTCTGACGTAAGATCTCGCAATGAATTCTATCTGATAAACTGCGACTAACCAATTGCGAACTTCTATATCAAAGTTGTGAGAGAAAATTTATGAGTACACTGAACAATAATTTTCAAATACAAACATTATGAACATTTAATATGGAAATCAAAAGTTTTTATTCATCTGTGAATAACCCAGATGGTTAGGGGTTATTAGAAATAGAATGGATAGACATATGGTCTCAAATTTGATTTTGAGTAACCGCAATATAAGTAAAAGGTCATGACGATGAGTTGCTACGTTAGTCTCAAAGAAAGAAAAATTAATTGAGGTGCGCACATATATATATATATATATATATACATGAAACCAGTTGTTTAAAAACTAGTGGGCAAGTGATTTATTTTATATATTTATTTAAATGAAAGTAGAAATTAAAGTACCACTTCAAGTTGTAATATTTTTTTATAATAATACTAATTAATACAAGATGATGTATTAACTCGCATTTAATTAAGTTATATATAATGCATTTCCAAGGACCCAAGTCAATGTATTTAATTTAATAAATTTAATTAAATTTAATTGTTTTAGAAGTAAAGGACAAGTTTGTCTTATATAATGGAGCTTATGTTCTTGCATTGTCTCCATTACATCTTGCGTTTAAATCATATTTTTTAAATTAATATTATAATAATTAATGTTTGACCAATGAATTACAATTATAATAAGACCTTGTTTGGACATGGAGAATCTATTTTAATTCTCTAGAATTCAAAATTGCTCTCATCGCCATTTGTAAGTTTTTTTTTTTGGGTGACAACGGATTAATTTTTTATTAAAGTGAATAAAAATTAATTTTTTTAAATTAAATTTTCTTTAAGTTACTTTAAATTATATGATTTTTTTATTAAACTTAATATAATGGTTATGTTCTTTCTATAAAGGTTTTCTTTACGTGATAAGGACGATGATCTCCGTCCTTATTCAACATGTTTGTTATCTGTAAATCTATTTGTTGTAAATTTGTTTATTAAATTTAAATTATATGCAAATTTTTTAATTAAATTTGAAAGATAAAATATTAAATTTATTTTAAATATCTTAAACGTCAAGTTTTATGAAAATGAATTACTAAATAATTATCAACTTGTCAAAAATGTTTTTGAAAATAAAATAAATTTTTTTTTTTTAAAGTTAAGAATAAATAATTTTTTTTCGTAAGAGTTGTGTTTTGTCACGTGACTTTGGTACGGTTGGTGAGGCGTAGTACAAACGTATAGGACAATGCTCGGCGCTTTCTACGCCGATTGTATCGGTTTTTGCTTGCAGATAATTTCTATGAATCGACCGATTATTTGAGAAAAGATCCGGACGGTAAGCGGGCAACTTGAAAATTAAAGTACCGAACAAAAGCTGAATTTTCTGGCTGTGTAGGATGTACTGACAGAAAACGATGTCGCTTCATATTTAAATGGAGAACAGAGACAGTAGTCAGTTCATTTCTTTGCTGCCTTTGAATCATCCGTGCTCAAATAATGCTTTTTTTTTTTTTTACTTTTAACTCATAATTTTTTTTTTATTTTTAATTAAAATGTAATTAATATAACAATAATACTAACCTTACTAACCCCTCTCACTAACTTTATGTGGGAGTTTATAATTGGCTTTGTCAGACGGAATGCATGTAAATTAACGAATTATGAGCTGACACATAATGTTTGTGAGAGAAAGTTAGTGAAAAGTGTTTGTGAATGTTGTGTTACTCTAAATATAACTATATCAGGATCGAGTCGGAATATCTTTAAATCTATTCATTAAATTAAAATGATATTTTACATACAACAACGACCTAATAGTGAATGTGTCTGATCCTAATACAATTATATACAGATGTTCCTAATATGCGAACTAAATATGAGTGATTAATCATTGATTTTGATTTTACATTTTGTGAAACTAATGGTTAGTCATTAACTTCTAATTTGATCGTTAAATTTTTTTTTTTTTTTTAGGTGTGGGCATATATATGTACACTTTCTTTGTTGTGTTTTAATTATGAAATAATTACTCAAAAAACTCTTTTGTAAAGGTTTAATTGAAATCTGACTTCTTTTTAGATAAGCCCATTCGTAATTTCGTATAATGCACTAGAGTCTAGTTAACTATAGCACTAGAGTCAAATTTTATTTTTAGAGAATTAAATTAACTTTTATATACATTTACTATTACTTTTTAAAACCAATATATTTTATTTCTTAATTTCGTTAATAAAATATAATTAGTTAACTGATTTAATAGCTTAAAGAAAATTTTATATGTAATTTATAACACTAATTTGGAGAATAATTAAAAAAAAATTAGTGACTCTAATGGTAGAGTTACGTGGATTCCAACGTTAGAGTTGCTAGAGAGAGTAAAACTGTAAAAGCATGAAAATTGTGGAGAGGTAAAAATGAAACAACAGTAAATGAAATGTCTTATCTATTAAACCAATTAAAAAAAGGGTCATACCGTAACTTATCAAAAGCATAAGGACCTCCAAAATAGTGTTTTCTTTAATTATCTAAAGGTCTAATCTTAGAAATTGAAATGAACCCTCTAGTACACAGAAAACCGCATAAACTTTGAGGCAATAGCCACCACAACCACACAAAATTTTAACCAAGATAAAGCACACACGTGGCAAAAACCCATTAGCTCAAACATCACATAAGGATAAGAAAACGGATGATGAATTCATCATTCTTCCCAACCCTCATTAAAATTTCACTGACACACCAAACATATAACCCAAATTCTCTCTATCCATTTGAACACAGAGAAATTCATTCATTAAAAAAAAAAAAATCACACAAAAAATGGCCTCAATGACCACCATGGCAGCAGCCTCAGCCTCACTGCTTCCAAACTTAACCAAAAACCAGGTCACTGGCAGCAGAAGAGGGATGATTGTGGCAGCGGCCAAGGCGGCATCAACAGGGGCAGACGGGGAGAAAGTAATGAGCTTGGAGATGAAGAATAGTAAGGAACAACAACAAAGCAGCAGCAGCAACGGAAGGAGGGAGATGGTGTTTGCAGCTGCAGCAGCGGCCGCTGCTTCCATGGCGAAAATCGCCATAGCAGATGAGCCAAAACCAGGGACACCAGAAGCTAAGAAGAAGTATGCTCCTATTTGTGTGACAATGCCTACAGCTAAAATCTGTCGCAAGTGATAAATTTTTCAATCTAATTTTGTTTGTTAGTGTGTTAATTGGCGTCTCAGATTAATGTGAAAGAATTAAGAACTTGTTTGTCTGTCTTGTATTGGAGAAATCTTGTTTATGTTATCTCCTTGGTTTCATCTCCCCATTGGTTTTGTAAATTCACCAGTTCATCCTTCATAGAAACTGATTATCACATCCATCACTTTTATTTCTCCTATTTATAATCTTAAATCCTCTTGATCATAATGGCGCATTAAGAACACTCAACAATTTCTCTCAACAAATAATTTCCCTGAACATCACTGCAAAACTGTTTTAAAGTCTTTCATTGAAAACATGATTGCACAAAAAGCAAACTAGAAAAGAAAGCAGAACTTAGCAACCTTGCACAGAAGCTACCTGTAAAGAATCCCAAGAAGATTTTGCATTCCGAAATCTAGAACTACTTGTCCTAAAATTTTCTCGGATTGGAAACTGAAAACAAATTGATGATCAAACACCTGAAAAAGACGTTTTAATTCAAAGGATAAGCGACAAAAAAGTCATAATTTAACAACTCGGGAAAATAGGGCACAAGGTTCGGGTACAGGTTTTGTACTCTTTTTTTTCTTCTTAACATAGAAAACAAACTAGCGAAAACTTCTTGTTACAAAATGATAACAGGTTCTGTTATCAATCTGTTCCAGCTGTTAGTAACTGCATGGAGAGAAGGGGAGGGGTGGAGGGAAGGCAAATTAATTCCATAATGGCTAACTCATTCACCTTTGCCATTTTGCTGGGCTGCAACAAAATTGCGGATAACTTCAATGGCCAACTGGTGGGCGGACTTGTTCTGCAGCTTGGCGAGGTCATCCATGGCTTCATATGTCTCCTTATCGGCAAAAAGTTTCAGGTTGTGTCTCGGTGATGCTCTTACTGGACCTTCCCATTTCTCAACCAGCTCTTGAAGCTTTTCAAATCCCTGAAATCAACCAGTCGCAGTCAACATGAATGTTAGGCTAAGTCTTATTAATGCATGAAAAATTTCAGGATGTCATTGCTTTACTGCTTACCATGCGGTTTGTGAAGTCACCAAATGATTCATCCTTTGTTTGTCGTTTGTGTTTCCAGCAGTAGAACAAGGGCTCAAAAACTTTTTCCAACTCTTGAACCTTAACTTTGTTCATAAAGCTTCTTGCTAACGACATTTGATTGGGGGTTCCACCAAGCCATATCTGTTTTTAACACAATGGAATGTTCCCTTACTACTTGCATTTTGATAAAAGAGAGGAGAGTCAAGTCAGTGCTTAAAATACCTGATAGCTGTTTGGACCATCACCAACCAGTCCAAGCTCGGCCATGTATGGTCTAGCACAACCGTTAGGGCAGCCTGTTACCCTTATGACCACAGATTCACTGTACTTGAGACCGACCTGATATCACAAAAGGTCATGGCTTTTATTTCATCTTGCAACTCCAATGTACACAAAAATATTGATTCACCATTGTTAACAAGTACTTGGCTAATTTTTCTAAACATGAATCATAAGTTATATACCTTCTCAAATACAGCTCTAACCCGCTTGAGAAGGTCAGGTATTCCTCGCTCAGCTTCAGTTATTGCAAGAGGGCAAAGAGGCAAAGCAGGGCATGCCATTGCAGTTATGTTGAGGGGGTCTACATATTTAGGAAGCTGCACACAACCATACATAACCAAGCTCCGATTAGAATTAAGCAAATAAAAGATTGGTAATTAGAAAACCCGATTAACAATGCCAGATGTTACAGTTGCCCCTAAACACACTCAGGTTTTTTTTATTAGTCCTCTAAGTTTAAACTATACCAGATATGAGAGCTGCTGAAAATAAAGTCTGTTATGATACATCAAGCCAAAATAAATAGGAGTCTCCAAGTCATATGAACTATTATGTACTTGTCACATCCAGACTTCAATAATACAAAGCCTCATATCTGTCAATGCCTTATTTGTGTGCAGCAAGAGTGCCAGATAATTTAAGTTAATCCAGCTCTACTTTATAACTCAGAAATTCAATTATATATCTATTAATCTTATCATCCTATCTAAGCCACACAGATGAATCATAAGTTCCAAGCTAGCAACTAAGTTGACCAAGTTCTGAGGGTTTTAGTAAGATACATTGCATAATCAGAGAATGATGTTGGTATCACTGTCCGTAAAAGAAATTTACCAGCAGACCAGCCTGAGCAAGAGCTGTGGTGATGGGACGCTTCCATGCTTTGCGAATATCACACAATATGATATTCTGGTTTGCTGTAATACGCACATTTAAATTATACTTCTCTATTATCTCCCTCAATGTCTTTTTCATTTTTCCCGCAATACGACCACTATCAACATGGAGTCCACAAAATAAAGCACCATCACCCTGTCCACAAAATTTAAATGGTCAGAAAAGCCAAAGCAAAGAGGCAAAGGAAAGTTTATTTTCAAACAAATGGAATTGGGATGTGATCCTGAGAAAAATAGTCTAAATTTCACTATGGTAGAGTATCAAAAAATTCAAACCTCAGGACCAACAAACGAAAATATGACAATATCTTTTGAGTCAATAAAACAAACCTGCTCATGCCATCCTAAATAACTTTTAAATTCCCACTCAGGAAGTTCACGGAAAGGCTCAAATTTCTTTCCATAATATTGCTCAACGACACTTCTAAACTTCTCGATTCCCCAGGAGCTGATCAAATATTTCATTCTGCTATATTTACGATCATCTCTCCTCCCATGTTCTCTTTGCGTAACGACAATAGCTTTCACAGCATACAAAATGTCCTCTTTTGGCACATATCCCAAAGGTTCTCCCAGACGAGGAAATGTGGTTTCCAATCGATGTGTTCTTCCCATACCACCACCAACCTGCAACAGAAATCATAATCACAACCACAGTACGGGAAAGTAGAAATAAATTTTGTTTGAGCAGATGAGTATCTTACAAATATATTGAATCCTTGAGGCTCTCCTTTTTCGTCAGAAACAACAACAACACCGATATCATTAGTGAGGATATCAACTGAGTTATCTGTGGGCACAGTTACTGCAATTTTGAACTTTCTTGGCAAGAACTGAGTTCCATAGATTGGCTCTGGAGAATCAGGGAAATTAGTTCCATGAGAATTATCATTGCGTGCCCTCACTACTTCAGGTGGTTCTGCTGTCATTATTTGCTCCCCATCCACCCACATATCATAATAAAAACCTGACTGAGGTGTGAGGAGAGCAGCAATATTCTCTGCCGTTTCCTGTGCAAATAGGTAATCTTTCCTTACAAGAGGAGCAGGTGGAGCAAGCACATTCCTATTAAGATCACCACATGCTCCAAGAGTTGATCCCATACTTCTAATGATGCTACTCATTACAGTTTTGAGGTCCTTCTTCAGAACACCGTGGAGCTGAAATGTTTGTCTGGTAGTCAAACGAAGAGTTCCAATCCCAAACTGATCGGCAAGATCATCCATGGTCAGATAGAGTTGATTTGAAACTTTTCCACAAGGGTTCTTAGTTCGAAGCATGAATGAGTAAGATTTTGCACCACGCTCATCTCTGTTATATTGTTGATAGCTCCCATGGAACTTGATTATTTGTGTAGCAGACTCATTTATATTAGAAGCATCCGTCAACAATTCCTCATTAAGTGGGTACCTTATGAAATTACTTTGCTCTTTGATTATTTCCACCTTACTACGCTTGGGTTCAGTCTCGGGCTTTACTGGCTGCAAAAGAAAGAACATTTATTTACAATGAAGCTAAGTTTCCAGGATCTTGTTTTGATATTGATTACATCAACAAGATATTATAAAAAAATGACAATTATAGCAACAAAGATAATTGAGGAACTGGATTCTTTGATTAGGTTGAGCTCAGATGACCCTTTCTACTATCCTTGAGACTGCCATTTCATTTAATAGATGAAACTATCAAAGATACTTTATTAGGAAATAGATAGTTTAGGCTTCAACACAGTTCAGAGAAGAGGAGGTGGGGCTGTCCACCCCATCTCAGCCATTAGACCACTTCCCATTACCTTCTAGGAGTTGATCCAAGGGCTGATATGAGATGTTAGGATTATTTCTCAGCAATACGGCCACTCCCATATAGTATATAATCTTGGGTCTTGTATATACATGACCGAGGCCGATTTTCTATTTTTCTTAGGAGGCAATACTTTTATACTAGTTGCATAGAATGACATGACATTGAACATCAAATTTGTAATAAAATATTTTCTTTGATGTTACAAGTATCACATTCCTCGTTATAAAATGGAAAAGAATATGTAAAATGCATTTCATAAAGTCATTGTGAATTTTGAAAATGAGCCAGCTAATTCGAATAACAAGGAATAAGTTTGGCTCATTAACAAGCATGATTATTTAATGGCCTTACAATATATTTGACCTAACCATCAGCATCTTTGACTTGACGGACTGTTTTCAATTCAAGTTCACCAAATTCATTCTTAGATCCTGAATATATAAAATTCATCTGAACGTACTCATTTCACAAAGCAATGGTTTACAAACCATTTGGCAAAACGTCACAGTAACTTTAACATCAGTTCCCACAACACACAGAAAGCAAACGAAAAGCTGTTCATTCTCATCAACCAAACAAAAAACCAAATAACTGACTCCATTAAAAGCACTTTGAAATAGTTTAAAGCGCCTAAATATCAATTCCCTAATGTTTTGGCTGAAGCTCATTATATCAAAGCACTTGATAACTGTATTGACAAAAAAAACACTTTTAGATCGCAAAATAATGCATGTTTACCATTTTACTTTCTTTCTTCTTCTTCTTCATTTTTTTTTTAAATAATAATTTATAATGTCTCGGAACCACACAATTTTAGTGCTAAGATTTTTATTATTTAAAAAAAAAAAAAAAAACCCACAAGCGCTTTTATTTCTAAAGCACTTTACGGAAGCGCTTTCAAACACAAAGCTAACCAAACGCTTTTACATAAACACATCAAAGAATACAAAATTTTTGAAAAAAAAAAAAAAAAGAGTAAAATTAAACAAAACGTCACCGTGGAGACAGCTCTGACGAGCGAGGTCGAGGCAGCTCTGGAGGAGTACGGGATGGGGAGGGCACGAAAGCTCTTGGAGAGAGCAAGCGAGTGCGACGATTTCAATCCGGTGAAGCTCCGAATCCGAAGCTTCGGATCACTAGGAATCACAGTGTTGGTAGCTGCAAACGACGCCGTCGAGGTCATGGCTTCGGTAGAGTGATAGTGAAAGATTACTCGGCGAAAGTGCAAAACGCAGCGTTGAAGGATTTGAAATGCGAAAGAGAGTGAGAGAGACGGGGGGGAATTAAAATATGAAATGAGATCTTATTTGTTTGTGTTGTGTTGAATTTGGGTGGTTATGAAGAACGGGAAAGTGAAGTGCGCTTATAGTTTATCTGATCGTGCGTGCTGCTATTGTGTGCCACCCTCACGTGCCCGACACGGGCTTGATTTGTTCTTTTGAGTTTTGACCTCTGTTGAAGACTCACGGTTGGAGCCGAAACGCAAACGCCACGCGCTTTCTCTTTTTTTTTCGACAATAACACCCTGGATTTTAAAAAACAAAAACATTTTTAATTTTCTAATAGTTTATAGCTCCGTTTGGTTTATTATTGGGTGGTTTTTAGAGTAATATTTTGAAAAAAGTTAAATTGGATGGGTATTATGATGTAGAATTTTAAAAATTAACAAAAATACCCCCTATGTTTATTTATTTACTAAACACCCCTATAATAAAATATTTAAAGTTAACAAAAACACTTCTAACCCACTCATTAAATACGGACAGCCGACCACCACCCCCGGAAGGTGGCTGGAGTAGCTGTATCGGAGCATGACTGGCAGGATCTTGCCGATCATGCACCGATATGATCTTTTTCGGTCAGTTCCACTTTGGATCTGGCTGAAAAATGCCAGATCTACGGCTAGATATGGCTATTGATGACCAGATCTGGTCGTATTTGGTCGTCAATGATGGCCTAAGATACGGTTGTCGTTGATGGTCAACGATGACCCTATCTTGGCCGTCGTTGACGACTATCAACAACCAAATATTTGGCCGTCTTAGATTGGTGCACTACCAGTTGAATCGCACCATCGGCCATATTCAGTCGGTAGTGCGCCATTATACCAGATTCCAGCCAACTTCCGACAGTGGTAGTCGGAATCTGGTAAATTTGGGTTATTGGGGTGTTTTTGTCAATTTTTTAAAAAAAAAATTTAGAGGTTGTTTAGTTAGATTAACAAATTTAGGGTGTTTAAAAGAAATTAAATAATTTAGAATTGTATTTTGAAAATAGGTGAACCAAAGTTAACTTTTTTGGGAAAACTAGAATAGTTTTCCAATATGTGAACCACACGAAGCCTATATATTTGACTTATATTTAATAAATATAAGACTTTTTTTCTTTTGATAAATATTTGAAAATTTAAGTGACACAGATAATAATATTCCTAATTAATAATTGAAATTAAATATAAAATTAACTTAAATATCTCCCATTCCAAACGCAATATAAAAGTTTATTGGTTTACAAAAAGAAATATTAATTTTTTTTTTTAGTTTTCATCAGATTTATTAAAATTCTCTATTAGAAATTATTTAAAAACTCATTTTAAAACGAAAAAAATCCAATTTTAAATTTTAATTAATTTAAAGTTTAAGAATGTGATTGAAATTTATAAATTATTCTCCTATGTTTGTTTGATAATTTTTTTTAAATCCATTTGATTTAAGCCAATTTATTTTGCATAAATAAGAATTTTATTCAATTTAGCTTTATTTTAAATAAAATAGACTAAATTCATACATTTTATCTATCAAAGTAGAAATTTCATAAATTATTTTTTAAAAAGTTTCAATTCAAACCTTTAAATAATTAAAAGCCCACATACTAATTACATTAAAATTAATTACATATCCGAATAAGAAAATACCAAAGCAAGAGCGCGTGCAGGGATGCGCGTGGAAGTTGACAGAGAGACATGCGAAAGTGAAACTAGATTTCGATACTAAAAGACATTGAACCTGGACCCAATTACGTCCGCTTCGTTGAATTGGGGGCTGCGTTTTGTCATTAAAATATTAATTAACACAAAAGGTAGTGATTCCATGTCGCAGGCTCTACAATAGAAAAAATACAGTACCTTAAATGGCGGCTACTTATTTGACTGACCAAAGTATAAGGTATTTAATTATTTAAATTTTTGATAAATTAAATTTACTGTTATATCAAACCCTGATTATGTAAACCCTAATGGTTTGATCTCGTGGAAGGAAGCTTAGCTGAGTCTCAGTAAATATTGGTTGACAAATCTTTTTTAATAACTTTATCTTATAAATATGACGTGACAACTTATAATTGATAAGACGAGATCTCTATTATTGGGCAAGCAAGACTCATTGCGATTGACCAATTATAAATTACTATGTCACGTTTATGAGAAAAAATTAATAAGAAAGATTTGTCAGCGTAATATTATTCTTCGAGTCTCCCTTGTGACGAGATCTTTAGAAACAATACACTGTTATATGTTATCAAATATTTATCAAATTGTCTTCTTATATACCTTATCACTTAAGTCTTAACATTTGATAGTAAATAAATTTCTATTATTTCGAAATTTTAAGATTTTTATTGTTTTATTATATCTTGATAAAATTAATGTGATTAACATTGAAACGAATATAATATAAAAAGAAAAAAAAAAATAGATTCTTTTTTTATGGGCATTCCATCAATTGAAAGGTTAAGTTGGGAATTGAAAATTGAGGGGCACATGTGAAAGATTCTGGGCTTTGAGAGGCGTGGGGCCTTTGTGGGGTTTATATCCAACTTTATGCTTCTTACTTTTTGCTTTTATATAGAACTAGAAGGTGGCTAATATCATATATCTTTAAATTATATATATATATATATATATATATATCATAAGATTGAAACAAACTAAATTTATTATTAAGAAGAAGAATTATTATTTTGATTTAAAAATTATTATATTTATTTCTTATTTTATAATTCATGTTTAGTTAGTATTAGGATTTTAATTCATTATTTTAATAGCATTAGGATAGTACGGAAATTGATATCAAAAAATCATTACAAAATTGAGTAATTAGATTTGATAACTTCACTACACTAATCAAATGAATATTAATGTCTTCCTTAATTATTTAAATAAGCAATAAGCCATATATGCTTTAACTGAAAAAGAAATCATTACTAAAATTAGATAAAAAGAGGATAGAGATAATCCCGAGGATGATAGTATGAAAATATCAAAACTTTCATGCCAAGAAGCTTTAAACATGCTTGAGAGCTAAAATTATTTTGGCTTTAATAAAAAGGTGTCCATGTTGGCAGCTTATTACGTACTCGTAATATAAAAAATGTGATAACAATTCTAAAATATAAATCATTGTCTCAAACAACTTTAAATAATTATTTTATTTCATCTTAAACCTTTAATGTAACATAGCATATTTTTTTTTTGCAAGACGGAACCTAGAAAAATTATAACTTACTACAATGTGAAATTTATTTTTATTTTATTTCATCTAAACATCCTTGCGAGCTAAAATTATTTTGGCTTTAATAAAAAAGTGTCTATATTGGCAGCTTATTACGTACTTGTAATATAAAAAATGTGGTAACAATTCTAAAACATAAATCATTGTCTCAAACAACTTTAAATAATTATTTTATTTCATCTTAAACCTTTAATGTAATATAGCATATATTTTTTTTGCAAGACGGGACCTAGAAATATTATAACTTATTACAATGTGAAATTTATTTTTATTTATAATTGATCCAAGTTGGGACCAAAAATTTTTACGACTAAATGAAGATTATTCCTATATAAAATATCACTATATAGAGATTATACGATATATATATATAAGCAAAGAAAAGTTGATAATCGTACATTTATCGGATATATATATAACTAACCAATCACGGGAATGTTGATAGTCATTAACATTATATATATATAAGCAAAGAAAAGTTGATAATCGTACATTTATCGGATACATATATAACTAACCAATCACATGAATGTTGATAGTCATAAACATTAACATAACGTTGTCTCATGATCAGTTGATTGTATGTATGTCATACGCACCTACATATATCTCATGGCTGAATGGTTGTATGTACATCTTTTACAAGAAAAAAAAAAAACAAATGAGATAGCTAGGGCTAGGACATACGCAGCAAAAAAATATGCATAATAGAAAGCACGTAAACTCAATCACCTTGAACTCAAAGCAGATAATATCTTGGGTGTCGAATGAGAACATGACCATAGCAGAGAAAAGGAGAAATAATTCTGTCATTAATCCCAGTAATCTAGCATAGAGATTCCCGATCACATCAGAAACTCACATATTATAATTACACAGTTAACCAAAAGAGCAAACAGAGGCTAGATTTTACTTCTGATTTGATGACATTAAACAAGTTAACCAAAAGAGAAAACAGAGGCTATACATAATTAGTAGTTAAAGCCCTTCAAATCTTCAATGGCAATGTTCGCAGCCGCGGGACAGCTCCTTGGAGAACTTGTCCAACCGAACGATCTTCCTCACCAGGGTCAATGCCTTCTCTTTAGTCTGGAAGCTTTCTGCTCTGAAGCAGTAGCTTGTTTCTTCAGAGCCTTGATCTCTGCATGCTTGCTCTCCAATTCGGCCTCCAGAGACTTAACTCTAGAGTTATGACACGCACGAGTTGACTCAAACATACTGTCCTGGAGCTTTGCAATTGAGTAATATAAAGCAAGACTGGCTTTCAGATCAGCTATTGACTTTGTTCTGATCAGAGATAGTGGCCTCTACTTTGTTACAGTACACGTCAAAGTGCGTTTTGATCTGGAAAAAGTTGCAAGAAAATGGGAAGTTGAAACTGAACAGAATAAAGGGAAGAAATGGATTGAAGTGTTACCTAATCACTCAAACAATGAATAAGAACCATTTGCAACTCATAGGAGGTCAAGTCCTTGATTAACTTTATTCCTTCTGGAATAGAGATACCATCATGTTGATTTAAAGCTGCACGTATCTGTTGAAGTAGTTGATCTATGTTACACTTATTTAAAGGACGGCTGCATTCATCAGCAGAGAGCCTTAAGGCCTCTAGAACTCTCTTCTTTTGAGCAGATGTTGTTTCTTGCTCAGGTTCTTGTAGGGTCTGAGCCGAATCAACTTGAGCTTCAGACCTCTTCAAAAAGCGTTTAGGTTCAGAGGTAGTTGAGGCTGCAATCTTAGTCGGAACCTTCCCTGTACCATCTTTAGAAATCGATGGATCCATCTCTGCTGAAAACCATAAGACCAGCAAGTTACCCCAGAAACAAAGGGTCGCTT